TCTGATTCCGGCCTAAGAACGTACCATAAGAATCAATCAATCACAGCAGAGAGTTTTTAATAATTCTAGACTATGATTGGCTAATTTTTACTGTATGTTTTGAAGTTACTGTTGCAAGAAGTGTATGCAGCCCTTATCTGGAGACACGGTAGTGTCTCGGCGATAAGCCAAACACAGTCAGTGACTACATTCTGCACTGTCACGTGCGTGGTATATCTCGTGCAATCTCGTGTTATCGCATGAATCGCGAGAATTTCGTGAGTCAGCTCGGTCATTAGCGGCGTCCCAGCTAGTCACGGACTTGAACGAAGTTACAACACCGAATGATAGAACCGTTTTACGCGGAAAAAGAACGCACGCGTATATACCACCTTGACCAAAAAGTTCCCGGAATTACCACCAGGTGATGCTCTGAGTCAGCTGATTTGAGTTCTGTTTTTTTGGTTAGGTTGCCATATCTATCATTGACATTTCCACCAAATTTTATCGCCATAGCTTGACATTTGTAAAAGTTACGCCGTCTTGAGTACATCTATCTCTGCACGGTTTTCGATTTTTTACAGTTTTAAAAATGGAGAATCACCTGGTGGTAATTCCGGGAACTTTTTGTTCAAGGTGGTACGTGCGAAGCAACAAAGTCCCGAAATTACTTGCTTTTCATAAATACCGCGAGCAATTTGACTTCACGATGACATTTTATGTATGTATATCGAGATAGTGTAACGTATATTATACTGGAGACAACTCTAATAAATTAAAATTAATGGTATATGTAAGTTTACTTAAAATATCAAAATAGCACACTTGAAGGCCTGTTTTCATAATATATGGTTACCTAAAAATTAACCCATTAAGGACCAAGACAAATTTTTTTTCTCAAAATTTAAAATTCTTTTAATGGCAAGCTACTATGCTTTTAAGGAGCCTACTTGCCAAAAATTTTCACCCAAAGTTGACCTATTTTTTTTGGTCGAAAAATCGATCAGCGATCCTTAATCGGTTTTTAATGGGTTGAAGGTTACCAACAGAAATGAAATTCATTCATGAATTTTTTGGTTACCTTTAATCTTTAGGTAATCATATATTGTGAAATCGGGCCTCAGAGAAATATTTTGGTAGATACGTATAATACTGTGATAATACTGTGATTCTCTGTACCATGAGGCGCAACTATTTCCTTTGGAAAAATTACGTTTAAATCTTGAATCACTAAAGTCAAGTACATATATATCATATTTAGTGATTCAAGATTGAATTATTTAAGCATTTTAAAATCTAGCTTCGACCGATATAGGGCTCTAATTTATCGATTGTGTTTCTCACATATACGGTCTAAAAATGATAATATTGCGTTCAAATAGTTTTTAAAATATAGCAATTTATGACACTAATGAGCGCTCTGAGCTAAGCATGAATTAGAGCTGCTCGACCTACATGCTGTTTTACTATTTTTTCATGTTTTACTATTTTATAATAACTATGATCGATATTTAAACATTATTTAGGTACAACTTAATGAAAGAAAATTTACTTTAAGTCGATGCTTTTAGTGATAGATAATTTTCCGTCATCAAGTTATGTCTATAATAGTGACGCTCGCTTTTTCTGGATCAATTTACGAAATTGATCGTGCTTTTCATTAGAAAGCGGTGGAAGGCGTGTTGAATCAACAATGTCATGTCTTTCATCAACACGATGAAGGAGACAAAGATCGCATTAATATAACATGATCAATTTACGCTACGTTTCTTATCGATTATCGCTGCGACAGCAATGGATGAATTAATCTTAATCGCCTTTTGTGGAGCAACATAACGGCGAATTAAGAGAATGAGCGGAAAAGTGTGATTGGAACGATTTTGAACCGATTAGTGAGTCTACGTCAATTTTCCGGACTTGTGACAGTACAGTGGAATCTCGATAACTCGAACCTCTATAGCTCGAAAACCTCTGTTAGACGAAAATTTCATTCCCTTCCGCTCCGCAGCGGGAAACCTCTATAAATCAAAATAAAACTTACTTTAACTCGAATTATTTGTCAGATATTTAGATCTCGAATTTGTAATACTTAACAATATAATACTTGACAACGATTGTAATTATTTGATTAATCTGACCTATCCCCAAAACATTTATTATATGTATGAAATAAATAATTCACTTTCAAAAATTGAATTTTTTAAAAGTCATTTAATCTCAAACTTATTAACTCTTGTACAGAGCCTCTATAAATCGAATTTTCATATGCTAACCCTCTTTTACTCAAAAAAATTTGATAAGTCGAAACCTCTATGACTCGAATATTTTAGCTCTTCCCTTAAGATTCGAGTTATCGAGATTCGACTGTAGTGAATCTATATTTTCGATGCAGCTCGAAAAATATATAAAAAAATATAAGAAAGCATGTAGTACTTTCACAGAAAAAAATGAATTCCTGATTCACGTATACAATATTTTTATTCTTTGTATTTACTTTCATTTAAATATAAGATGTTCTCTTTAATTATAAATGTTCACTGGCGTCATTAATAAATAGACTTGTGCAAAAAAAAGTATATTTTATTTTTAAAATTGTGTTCTTGTTTCTAAAATCATTACATGGTTCTAACAAACTCAATCGCATTATTTAGAAACTATTTATTTTTGGATTTATTCTATTTTATTATATTTTATTACAATATAATTTATTTTATTTTAAGACTAATTTATTTTTAATTGGAAATTGTTTATTCTTGGCGCTATTTTAAGCATAAAATATTTTTCAATTAAAGTATTTATGCATTCCTTTAAGAATTCATTTTTTTGTGTGATTATATATTACAGTCTAGTAATGATTGCAGTCGTAAAAAAACACTACTAGGTTGCATAAAGTATATATTTATTCTTGGTGCTATTTTAAGCATAAAATATTTGTCGATTAAAGCATTTATGCATTCCTTTAAGAATTCATTTTTTTCATGCTACTTTGCAATCTGGTAGTGTTTTTTGACGACTGCAATCATTACTAGACTGTAATATATAATCACACAAAAAAAATGAATTCTTAAAGGAATGCATAAATGCTTTAATCGAAACATACTTTATGCTTAACATAGCGCCAAGAATAAACAAATATATACTTTGAGAGAAAAGTCATCCAAGGACTTGCTGTACTGCAAGGGTATATAATACTGAGTGATAGGCTGTTGGTAGTCAGTTTTCCATGTATCTTTACAGAAAAATCTTTTGATTTGATCGGTGTTAAAAACAAATTTAATTAATAGAAGATAATTGCAGAGTTGATTACAGGTATTTAAAACGAATCTTTTTGATACTGTAAAAGTATAATATTAATGAAAATAGTTATTAATTCTATATTAGACATATAATTTAACAGATTTAACAGATATTATAATTAAACTAAGGAACGGCATTTTGCAACATCAGTGTGAATATTCATTTTCGACGTATTTTTATGTAGAGGAGAAGGATTATGGAACCGCAGTTACATTTTACACAATAACTTTGTTAATAATCAATATTTAAGTTTAAACTTGACAATTACATTCGTTAAAATGTTGTTGAATCTATTCTGGACTTAAAGTTACGAAATATTTATTACTTAGGATACTATTAATAAAAATGTGGCAACATTGCATAATGACTCGAAGAAAAAAATGGATGGTAATGTGGCCTTCCATAAAAACAACCTTAAAATAATAATTTTGTTTAGAAAACGGTATTTGGTTACAAAATTAACAAAAAAGTAAAATACTTTAAAATGTATATACACATGAATGTATATGCAAATGAATGTATATACACATAACTTCTGCATATAAGCTACTCAGTACTAGAAATAGTACACGTAATATAAAAAAAGCTAAATTAACAGTATAGCTACAATCGATTATCAAATAATTATTTTGATATGAAAACCTTAAAAAAGAGGTCGTGAGTAATCAATATCCATAGAGAGTCACATTAGCAAAATGCCATGCTATTGTTTAAATTTGCATAACTCAAAATATATACAGTCAAATAAAATATTAAACAGCAAATAACACTCAAAAATATTCATGTGATAACACGCTCAAGTTTAAGAAAAATGAGGAAGTAGGTGTAATTAAATGCTAAAATATATACTTCAGAAACATTTCGAAATATTTGAAAGGAAAATGCGTTATAATAAATGCTGGCTATTGAGTATTGGTAATATTAGCGTCATGGTGTAACGGCGAGCGAGCTACTGAACTAATAAAGTAAGACTTGTAAGAATTTTTTTAAGTGCTTATACCTTTATACAATATTTTTGCAGACAGCTTCTTACTAGCCATAAAATTTACAAGAAATCGTAGATATTTACGAATAATCATATGTCTTATGATACATACGTATCAAATTAGAATACTAGTCACAAGTTTATATATATATATATACAAATTTTACGAGAACACGTTACGAATCTTACGAGTCTGCTTAGAATTGACCCATTAGTTCTTTTTTACATTGATTCTAAGGAAAATTTGTGAAAACATAAAAAAATCATTTACCTATTTTATAAGTCGTTAAATGATAGACATGATTCCATTTTCAATGTAAAATGAAAATGGTTTTTCAAAAACCATTTAAAATGGAAAATGCAAAATGCCATTTCCATTTTAAATACATATTTAAAATGGAACTAATATTTTAAATATTTCCCAACCCTGTGAATTCGAATCCGTTGGCAAAAGTTGACTTCTATGGCTTTTAAGAAAAATCGTATCAAAGGAATAAAAAATCTCCTTTGGCACTATTTTTTATAAAATTTTGAATAATTAACTTTGGCCAACGAATTCGTGTTCGGCAGGTAAAAATATGTCGGTAATAACTATTCACACTCGTGTAACCAAAAAGAGATCAAATTTTATTCCACAATGTTACTTAATAAAATTGATAAACATATTAAAGTCTTACTTTAATCAGAGTGTAGTAACTATTTATATAATTCATATCATTCTCATATTAATAATGGCGCAGCGTATGATAGTGCAAACAGTCAAACATGACAAATCCAGCAAAGTACGCTTCTTCAAACGAGATGCAAAAATGCGCCATATCGATAGTAATAGATGAGTTTGCCAAAGACCTAAAAAGTAAATCTGGGATATGTATGGATATTGGTTGCGGTCCTGGAGATATAACAAATAATATGCTTTTACCATCTCTTGACTCAAATGCTGTAATGATTGGTAAGAAGTAACAAATTGTACGAATATGACAACGTAATGCGATGTAAAAATTATTCATTAATTCAGTGATCCGTAGGTACTGATATTCAGGTGGCCATGATTGAATATGCGAAGAAAACGTACTGTCACAATACACGTCTCAAATTCGAAGTATTGGACATTCAAACTAAAAACTTGCCTGAAAAATATATTTCTCAGTTTAATCATATATTTTCATTTTTTACTTTTCACTGGTGCTATGAAATCAGGTAAAAAAATTGTTAAATAGGTGTAAATTTATCTTCTAAAATTATAATTTTATAGAAAAACAGTTAAAATATAATTTATATTATACCGGGTGTTCGGCGAGATTTTTGCCGCTTTTTGTAGATAGAGTGGACTAAACTGAATCGAAAAGTTCTGTACCATTTTGCAATTTTCGCAATGATTAACGAGATATTAATTAAAAATTGCTGAATATTGGTTTTCAATAATTTTTTACTCAAATACTACCAACTTTACAGAAAAACAATAAGAGATAAAAATTGTTCATTTTCTTCTCATAGAGCTCTGAGAATTTTTTCAGAATTTTTTTATCAACTTTTTAGTGCATTTTCTACTTATTGGTTACTATTTTTACCAACATAAGAAAATACGGTATTAAAAAATTCTGAAAAAATTCTCAGAGCTCTATGAGAAGAAAATAAACGATTTATGTCTCTTGCTGTTTTTTTCTGTAAAGTTGGTAGTATTTGAGTAAAAAATTATTGAAGACCAATATATATTCGGCAATTTTTAATAATTAATATCTGGTTAACCATTGCGAAAATTGCAAAATGATTTTTCGACTCAATCCGTTCTATCTACAAAAAGTGTTTAGCAGAAGTCTCGTCGGACACCCTATATATATTTATTAAGAACATATTCATGTAATTATCATTTTTAATGGTATGTATTCTAATTATTTTTAAATTATTATAAAATAAAAAAACGCGGGCACGCACGGTAAGTACATTTTAAAGACAAAACGTTTCATTTTAAATCGGTATTTTATTAAAAGTTGTTAACTAAATACAGCACTATATTAATTTTTTCGCGAAAATATTGTAACATGTAATATTGTAAATAAATTGATAACATATATCATATATATTCCTTCGTTACATAACAGGAAAGTATTTGAAAATATATACTGCATGCTTCAATCTGGTGGAACTTTGTTCGTGCTGTTTCCAGCATCTCATGATACATTATTTGAAGTGCTTAAGAATATTGCGCATGATTCCCGTTTTGCGCCTTATTTACAGGTCAGTGTTTATACAGTTTGTATTTTTGTTTGCAGTTTTTCGATTAAAATATTAATTGTTACTTTTACACAGAATCTAAATAAATATATACCATCGTTTTATAATTCGGTCCTACCTAGTGAAGATCTAAAAGACTTGCTTGGAAGTGTTGGCTTTAACGTTCAACATTGCAGTCTTCGGGAAATAGATTTTTCCGAGATAAACGAAGATACATTTCTAAGTTAGTTTACTTGAGTAATATATTTAAAAATTAAATGTTATATTTGTAAGATTTACTGCATCACAATTTTGCAAATTTTTTACATTTTATTTATTTTAATTTTTTTAATTATTTTACAATATCTTATAGTAATATTTATTACAGTTTATTATTAACAATAATATATTAATATACTTATGTTAATTTTTTCGATAGCTTCATGTATGTCCATTTGTACCTTTTTGGATGTGATACCACCTGATCTAAAGGAAGAATTCGAAGATGAATTTCGACGTGAATACAAAAATTATAAAATTAAATTGTATGGTAATAAAAATTGCGATATGGAAGCACCAATATTAGATATGCACAAATTATTGGTAGCTTATGCAAAAAAAGGTGCGCAATAATTATATAACAGCATATCACATTTATAAGTATTTGTCATTTATAAAAATTAATGCCTTCAACATCACTTTGTGCCTCTTAAGATATAGTTGATATTACGTTTTCTCAAAATTCTATTCAGATTTCTATATATGAAAATAAATAAAATGCAGTCCAGTTTTTATTATAGTAAAAACTTATTGTTAAAGGTTTCACAAGCGTACAAGAATTTTTTTAGATTATGTAATCAAATTTATATAATCCCGAATCGTAAAAAATATATTCTATTTTTGGACCTTCACGGTCCAAAGGGTAAACTGTGATCGAAAATTTTCATATGGTGCTGGAGAGTTAAGTATGTAAAAAGTCTTTATTTAGTTGTAGAATTGTGTTTTAATTAAAATCCGTGTCTTTTGTCGTTTATTTCCAGAATATTTAACAAAGTACTAATTAAATACGAGAATTCCTATATTTGGTCAAAGCTGTGTTTAAATATTTCTGTGTGAATTTATAATATATACATATCTTATTTTGCAAACTGTGCTCCGGAATCTTTCCGTTTTAACCGAATACAGGAATGCTCGTATTTAATTAGATTTATTTTCATCGATCTAAAATTTGTCAATCAATAAATAAAATATTACTGTCTTTTTGTTATGAGAAATAATTGATATTATTATTATACGAGTAAATGGCTGAATATTGACCCCCATTAGCCTGGACCCCCACCATCGAAAATCAAATTCGCGATAGGTCAAAAATTTAGTGCTCTTTGTGAGCTAATTATTTGCTGAAAAAAATTTTTTTCGCTCAGCGGTTTACGAAGAAAAAAAAACAAATGGGAGGTTCAGGTTAAGACAAAGCTGAGTGAGACCCTCGAAAGTTTCGGATGCACTCGATCTAATAGCGACCCCTACTTGTACTATCTCGGACGAGGGGAAGACATCCTAAGTTAACTGAGCTTGGTGACAGTGGCCCTAAGCATCGGAAATGTACCGAATTATTAGGTTCGACGATGTTGAAGTCAATCATTGCCCGAGTCTCGAGGGGAAGTGTTGAGGTCGGTAAATTCGACCGGTCTTATCAATACACGGACAATTAGGCGCGCCCTCTTTAAACACGTATCGAGAGCGCTTCCTGTCATGCGTGCATTCGCTTATTAATTTCCTTATTCCGCGTTCTTCTTCGTCCGAACGCTCTTAGATGTACACGCGCGTACTCAACGATCTCAATAAAGAACTTTGTTAAACTGTGTTCGTGTATTCTCCACTATCAATCCCTGCCTGCTCAATAAGCGACGATAAAACTCTTATATCAAGCAAGTATATACCTTAGGTGGTGACAGCCAAAAGTAAGTGAATTTTTAACGAATTTTAAACTTTTTTTCAATTTTCTCATGAAATCCAGTGCAGCTGAGATCCTGTTTGTGCGTACTTTAATTCTGTACTAATAATTTTGCAATCCGTAAATCCAATTCGGAAATTTTTTACCGAATGGAAATGAGGTGAAGTACAAGACAACTTTAGCATCCCCTTAAAGGGTGAAACATTCCTTAAAAAAAGAATCGGTTTTTTCTTTTGAAGCGAATTGTTGAAACTATGATAGCTAGTTTTAGCTTATATTTTTTAATATTATTTACGAAGTTATTAAAACATTTTTACTTTCATTTCTATTTTTATTTTATATTATATTTTATTATATAATATAATATTATAGTAAGCTTTTTATTATTTATTTAGAAAATAGGTCAAACATGTTCCATGTTTCGTTTGTTAAGTTAATTATGTTAAGTCTGTTCTCGCGTCATAAATGGTATAATAAATGATTATTTTTTAGTATCGTTTTACATTTCGCAACATTGTTTGCACAAATCTCTTGTTCGATAGTTAAATTTGTTTGAAGCGCTTATCAATCGGCGAATGTGTGCGGGTAATTAACTCTTATCGGTTATCACAGAATTTGTCACGTTTAGATTTGAATGATAATTATCCACGAAATCCATTGCATATTTTTTGATGCAAAGCTAATGCTAAACTGTTCACAGTTCGTAATTCGTTATTCATAATTATGATTTGTTAACGATTCATCGTGATATTGGATAATTTATTTCTTAACTACTTTTAGTTTATTTATTTCTATTTGTTGGAAATCCTTTGTAATATTTGTTTTTAGGATTTTATGATCAATTTATCTAGATTTCATTTTGAAAAATTGTTAAGTTAATTAAGATGAAAAGTAATAAATTAAAAGTTATAAAGGTTAATTAGAAGTAAAGAGTCGAGTAATCAGTTTAATTAATTTTCCAATTGAATTACTATAATAGGCTTTCATGTATATGAGGATTGCAGGTCTTTAACGCGTGTTATACTTATCATACATTAATTAATCTCAAATGCTTTTTTATAAATAATTTTTAAATACAATTAAATTATAATATTGTAATAAAAAACATTTGAGATTAATAATAATAAAAAATCTTGTGTAAATGTTCAGACATAAATACATGTCCGATTACTGGAATGTTTATCTTATGTTAAAATGTAGATTATACCTTAAGTCTCATTCTGCGCACGACTACAATGAGTTTTCCATCTGGACGAGACCCATCAGCATAATTATGATCGAACTTAACTTACATTAGTGAGGTCGTTTGATCTATAAATTAACTTTATTCCCTAAACTCGGATTGAAGTAAGTTAACCCGAGTAATCTGGGTTTAACTTACTTTTTATTTTTTCTAGTTCTAAGAATTAGAAAAGAATAAAAAGTAAATTAAACCGAGATTAAAATTAATTTATATTGGAGTAGAAATGAACGTAAAATTATATATAATTAATGTGAGACATGTAAATGAATGTATACACAAGGCGTGATTGCATAAGTAATCATGCCTTGTGTATACATTCATTTACATGTCTCATTAATTATACATATATAATTTTCGTAATACATCCCGGGGTGCTCAAACCTTGCGATAAAGAGTTGACAATTAGAAATTATCACAAATCTTGAAATTTTTTTCACGTTTCGGTATCCGAATGAAAATGTCACTCTAATCTTATTTACGATAAACGTATATATTATTTCTATTATTTGTGGAACGTGTTTGTATTATTCGTAATCTGTTAAGGATCGTAATCTATTAACGTCTCTTTAATCGATTACTTAATACTTGAGTACGAAAGCGCAGTTGATTCGTTATCGCTCGAGAGCAGATCTTTACACTGTTGACGATTCCCCGTCAAAGATTTCTGTTTTGTACGTAGATTAAATTTTCCATGGATATGCTCTGATTTCTTATGAATACCTATAAGTGTACATATTCAAATTAGAATGTATGTAAGTAAAAAAATTTCGTACGTACTGTGTTGATAAAATACATATAGAATTTGTAAATATTGGAAAAGAGACGCGTTGAAGTAAATTTCTTCAAAGAAATATTTTTTATCTTTGCTTGCTTGCAAATCTATGATAATTATAATGAAGCCATTTAATTTATTGTGAAAATTCTCATTTAAAGAGGGGTTTTTTGGAAAATTCATGATATTAGTAAACCGAAATTATCGTGATTATTGAATTATGATTGTTAAGGCAATCATAATGATTATTATGGATTAAGACGGTAATTAATGGAAAGACAAGACATGAGATGACAAGTAATATATAAAAATTACTGTAAAGCCAGAATTTTTTGAAAATTGTTTTATGTTCGCTTTTAAATACTTTTTCGGTGCATCTGGTATATTTTTATCATTTATCATTGAACAATTCGTGGGATCTTATACAAGTTTGTTTAAATGGTTTCTTTAAATGATAATTTAAACACGATAAAGAGAAAATAAAAGAGGAAACTTCTAGTCTAGTGCATTAACCGCTTGTAAACAGGTAAACCACTGATTTCAATTACAAACCGAGTACAAACAGAAGTTATAAAGACTAGTATCTTATCTACTAACAGGTACATACTTACTAGGTAAATAACCGCAGATTCACATATCTGTAAAGCATTAAGAATGATTACTTTGTTATTACTGTACATGAAACTTTATTATAGCTATAAGTGTAAAGCCTCGACTGATATGCAATCAAAGGTGAAAAAAATGCCTAAGAGCCGACACTGGTTATTCGTATGTAAAATATAAAGTTTATTAACAATAATTTAAACGTTTCAACCATTCAATTTTGGTCATCTTCAGTAATTAATGAACGCAATATAAATGGTATGCTATTATATTAAAATTGATAAAATTATACAAGTTAAAGGATGTGTCCAATTTAAAATCTTAAACGTCATAGTATTTGTTTGAATACTGTGTACAGTCAATCGATAAGTGATACCATTGATATTCGCTGTACATATTAGTATGAGAAAGATGTGTGACATTACGAGGTCCGTTACCAGTCAAAGTATAAGAACAAATGAGTAAATTAGAACTGAAAATTACTATTAAATTAGATTTGAAATTTGTATTGTAATTGCCTTGAAGAAAGTTGAAATTTATAATTAAACCGCCGTAGATTAAATTAGAATTTCAATGTCTTACGGCCGCACACCAGAACGACATGCGACAAATATCTTATAAAATACATATTGCTTGGAGCGATATGAGATACATTGTATTTTAAATACCCGCACTAGCGCGACTACATTTGTCTTACAATATTTATTGTAAGATAAATAGTACATGTCTCATGTGGTTAATATCGCAAGATGTAAGGAAGTAGTTAGAATTTAAACGGAGGCGCCAATAAAGTTATGTAATTCTCTCTATGATTAGCTGGAGTAATTGTTGCTCAGAGTCACATGATTAGGCGCCATACTGCTTTATGAACTCTGCCCATATGATTCACATTATGAAAGTTGTAGGGATGTATTCAATATCTTCTCTTTTTCATTTTTCTTCTCAAAAACCAGTAGGCCATAACAGCGTCTTCTTCGCTTGAAGAACTCATTGCGACAAACGATACATATCTTATCGCTGTGCAAAATAGTTTACGATATACAGGGTGGGACATTTTAATTGCCCCA